GAAAGTATAATTATTTTCAAAAATACCTGCTCACCGAATGTAGCATTTCCTATGTTAAAAACTTTCTTACAAGGCAGAATTTGAATTTTTTCAACCTTGAAGAGCCTCTCGAATCAGAGCCATGGTCGTATGACATATTTGTTGGTCTCATTTGGATTGAGAGTGCAAATATTATATTGAACCCATATTATAATTTTTCTTTGAACGATTTTCTTTTGTCTATCATATAATTATAGTTGGCCAGTGTCATCCTTGGTGGCGTGGGTCAAGCACTTAGCTAGCATCTATCATCGACACACACCATAATTCGAGTCCATTAGAGTGGTTCCGGAAAGATCATATCAAGTTGAGTACACTATGATCTTTTGATTGTGCTCGAAAGACCTAACTCCCGAGAAATATAGCAGAAATAATTTTTACACCAATTTTCATGGAATTTTATTCAATTGAATTTGACACAAAAAAATATAACTTACCCATGATTAGTCGTTTTTCTTGCTATCTTTTTCTGAAAGTTAAAATATATAAAATAAATAGCCCGTTGTAATCAATTATTACTTAAATAATAACCGTTGATCCCTCCCACCAACTTAATGTATACATTAAACAAATAGGAAATGTTATGAAAATATGTTTGGGTACAAAATTTAATATGTTAATATTGGATAAAAAAAAAGTGTCAAGATATTGAACAAATATGATATGGATTGCAACACAATCCAACATAATTCGGTTATGTTTGATACGTATGGGAAACTGTATCATTGGATGCACTTTTATCATTGAAATATTTCCAATTATGGCAAGCTTGCTTTCTTGTGACGTTTTCAAGTCTTGCATGCATACTCCACCTAAGTGCCCTTAATTTTCATTCGTAAGACTCGCAATGTCCAACAACCACCACCTCCTGATGATTACTGGCAACCATTCTATGTTTCGTGCTGACAGCGGGCCGGGTATTGTAATCCCTACCGTCAAGCGCTCTGATTTTCCCAAGGATTTTGTATTTGGCGCTGCAACGTCGGCTTATCAGGTGTGTGTCATATTGTTTGCATGCAGAGATTTGTTTAA